CGATTCCCCAGAACATATGGGAAAATATGGGAAGTGGGGGGAAGACAAAATCCCAGAAAACATATGAAACTATAGGGAATCCTGTTAGTTGTGTGTATTTATTTGTATGTCCCAGGGCCCCTTCATGAATCTTGGGTGCATGTCGTACCGAGAAGCACTTCCACCGCCCTGGCGCGCGCTAAACGAGCACGAGTCGACGATGGTACGGACGTTTGTTCCAAACGAAAATAGATTTCGCAGCACGCGTCGTCGATCAGGATCGCGACAGGTGGACGCGAGTGAGTGCGAGCTGGGACCCAAGCTTACACGAGCTACGCCTAGTCTTTCGCAGAAACGGTGGACAGAACAAGTTAAGTATGTGCTGGCGACTTTACTTCTTTTCTGCGTGCCGTGGCTGCCATCGACAACGACGCCAGAAGGTGAGAAGGGGCCCAGAAACTACAATGTTGCAATAATCCGCCATGCGTGCGTCGCTTCGCCCAGTCCCGCATATACGACGCGTGAGCTTTCTGGCGCTCTGGCGCTCCCGCCGGGCTCTCATAGGGCCGTCCCCCGGGACGGTTTCCGGCGCTTCCGTTTCCGCATTGATGAGAAATACGAGCACGGCGCGGACAACACCTCGCGGCGTGACCCCCTGCCTCTTGCTGCCGGCCGCTCCTAGGTCCCGGCCGCCGGGTGCTCGCCAGGCCAGAAGCGCGGGCCAGCTTTGGGAGAAGGCCGGCTCTGTGGAGGCTGTAGTTGTCGCGGGTGCTGCGCCTCCTCGTCTCCGTGGCACTCCGTTTGCTTTTTCGTCGGCGTGCCCTTGCGGATGCAGCAGCCATTTGGCGACTGGCTGGCCGCTGAGCTCCGAGACCCGCCTCGATAAGGAGCTTGAGAACAGCCGGGGCGCTGCGCCTCCTCCTCGTCTCCGCCGTCGTGAGCGAACAAGGCGGTAGTTTCGTCGAGGTCCTCGCCGAGGCCGTCCTTGACCTCGCTCTCGGGTTCGGTGTCACGGCGGTCACACGGTGTCACCAGCCAGGCGTCTCTCTGCGCTTTCTTTTCTCGGCAACATGTTTCCGAGCTGCTCAGCCGGTGGTAAGGGCCCCACTGTTCAGCAAAGTGGCATTGTGGCTCATTTTCGGGCGCAGTGCGGTATCCGCGATGCAAGGCTGTCTTCAGCTGTCGGTGCAGCCAGTCGTCGAAGATTACATACTTTGCCGGCCGCGCCGTATCGTTTTGTCATGAAACTGCCGAGGGCACTCCACGGCATGCGCGGTTCCGGTCAACGCGGCTTCAGTGAAGAAGAAAGCGTTCTTGGTTCTCGAACGTTTCGAGGTCCACATGTTCGACGTTGGCATGTCTTGCGCCTTTCTTAGGGCAAGCCTTTACGAAAAGACGCGGCTTTGTCTGACATTCATTGCACTTCGGTTGTGTGCCATCCCACCCCTTGGGGCTCCGACGCCGTCCTCTGCCGCTCCCTCATGTGGTACGGTCCTTACTCTTGCTCGCTTCGCGATTCGAACCTCGTCGTGCATTGAGGCCTCGATAATCCCGCCATGCAAACGTTGTCTGTCTACCTGGCACTTGCCATCCTCTTGAGATGTCACCAGAACCGTCGCGCAGGCTTCCGCGCGAACCTCCTTCTCACTCTTGCTTGTTGCGTCCACCAACATACATGCTATGCTTGTTGTTCGTTCCCCTTGCCGTCGGGGGAGATGGTGTCGGAGTCATACCCTGAGCCATACGTAGGTGTAGTGGTGGGGCAAGTTCTGCCCCGCAGGGTAGTGGTAGGTTGAGCTGAGGGGGGCGTTATGGGGGTGGCTGCCGGGCCGACCGTTTTGGCCTACTTGTTCGTAGCTGCCGTTGGTGAGGAAACCCTCCGTTTACATTATAAGTCCTCGTTTGCCACCTCTCTACCGAATGCGTTTCCGATATGACCTGGCGACTGCGCCATGAGCCAGTAGATTTCACACGTGTATTTAAGTCGTAATACCAATGTTTTGTACGTGGCATAGTGCCGATCAATGGTTGTAGTATCTCGATCGCTCGATTGAGAGAGACTCAAGGGCCTGAAAAGGATGGTGATTAGTTGGGTTCGTCGAGCCCCGCTGACTGCTGGCCTCTAGTAGTCTTACGATTTCAAGCGAGCCAGGATCATTCGCGTATGTTCGTTGGCAGGAGAACTGTAGGGTATCAGTTGGGTGCCTGACGAGGTTTGCCTCTTGTCAATTAGGCGTCCAAACATGGCGACAAAGAAGAGCATGATGCATGTTCCCAGGTCCGCGCGGACTCCCCGATTCCCACCCGAAAGTCTTAGGATTTCACCAGGGATGCGTATCGCAAGTCTGCTTGCTAACCCCCCGCGTCTCCGTTGAAGTGCAGCTGTTTGCTGCTGAGAGGTCATCCGTCCGCTGGTTGCGTTCAGCCACGCATGTACTTCGCAGACCCACTCGCGATAGGCCGCGCAGCCAGCCGGGCACCAGTAGGGGCCCGATGGGATGTGTTCTTTGTGTTTTTGATCATGTTGCGCAAAGATCGGGGAAACCTAAGACTCGAGTAAGCCGGAACTCTGGTTTGCCGACGTGTTTTTGACGAGCGCGTCTTGGATTTCGTCGGTCCAGGTTTCGTGGGATGTTTGCAGCGGGAGCTCGCGTCAAAGTTCAGATTGGGCCTCGCCACTTTTCATGATGGCCCCGTCAGGCCAACCCGAGTCCCCCGAACCCGCGTCTTACGTCTCCCCGAAAAGAGGTGCGTGGAGGGGCCAAGGCATGTGGTGCAGCAGGGCGTGGGAGAGGACGCGGGGCGCGGGAGAGGGCGCATTCCTGAGCACCTCGCAGACTGCAGGAATCTTGAAGTTGCTTCTCGGCGCTCTTCACCTTCCCAGGGGTGGCGTCGTCGAGTCAGGATGGTCCTGAGAGCTGGACAGCGCTGAACAGGCTGGGAAGGGAGCAGATATCCCTGCCACCGCTCCCATGAGGATTAGAAACAGATGTCGTAGGCGTGTTCGGTTGTATCATGGCTTTGAGGGAATCGTGTGAGGTATATCTTGTTGGGTGGACGTGTCTGCTGCAGTGGACGTGGGGAACACGGATACCTGTTCATCAAGATTGGGCACACCAGCACAGTCCGCGTGGCTACAGTACTGGGCAAATATGGTGCACTTACTTGTGAGCCCAAAGTGGCAGCGGACACACGTGTCCATGATTGCTTGCTTCGTCCTTAGTCGTTTCAGAGTTCGTTGCCGCTCTTTCTCCTGCAATCCTCCTCGTTATCCCTCTTTCCCCTCTCCCCCTTCTGCTCCTCAGCCTGACCCTCCTCCGTCGGCCTCCTCCTCCGTGCCATCATCCTCGCGCCTTGTATGACTTGTTTCGATGGGGCCGCATTCCAGCCAATGTGTCGCACGTGTTCGTACGCTCGGTGTTCTAGTACAAAGTCTGCAGGTCGGGGTTGATCAGTAGGTCGACCCTGCCAATGAAAGGGCACCCGTGTGTCCGAGTTTCCACGACCCATGCCTTCTGCATTATTGTGGGAATGTGGCGCGCTTGGAAGGATATTGTGTCATTTTGCAAGTCCTCGCCAATCAATCTCGACTGTAGTGCGGTGGGGGCGTTGGTTTTGGAATGACCTTGCAGGATTCCTGATCTGATGAGGGCGGCGGTGATATCCATGGCCAATCACTCATTGGAGCTCCACCGGCTTCCAGACCCTGGATTTCTTATCCAGCGGATTTCTTGGATCAGCGCCTGGACCCCCTTGCGGCGCCTCCGGCGCCGCCCGTGGCGCGCTCCGCGCGCCAGGGAGGGGGACCAGCTCCGATCCACAAAATTTGCGCTGACCGTCTCAAGGTTATGCTTATGACTGTTTGGGTTCCTCTAGAGGCGGCTCTGTGGCTGCGGATGTCAAGCAAAACCGCCTTCCCCCCTCTGCGATGAGAAGCAGTTTCACATTGTGACACGAAAGTGGTGTAAACGTGAATGGAGATAATTATGATGTTTTTCTGTTGGTTCTATGCCGTCGTCCTCGCAATCATGCGCCCCAGCGTTGTGCGCCAGTCTGTGTCTGATACCGGAGGTCGGGGGATGAGATCGCAGTGGAACGGAGAGCCACCCACCGTGAAATCGGTTTCGTTTTCGTGTTCGCGTCGCGCGTGGGCGAAGCTGCGCATGCGCGCGAGTGAAATGACCCTGCCGCCGCGAATGCGATTCGGATGCGCTGGACCGCCCCTCCGCCCCGGTAGGCGCGCGGTGGCCCGGAGTGTCCCGCCGTGGTGTCCTGTGGTGTCCCGCTGGCGTCCCGTCGGTGTTCCGTCGGCGGTGGGCGGGCGGCGGCAGGGGGTGTCCCGCTGCGGTATTGATAGTAAAGTCGATAGTGGGATCGATGATGAGATTGCTAGGATGGGACGGATCGGATCATCAGTGAGATCGACAGTGAGGGTGATTTTGACAGTGGTTTTGAGATCGGCACTGAGGTCCATAGTGAGACCGGTAGAGGAATCGATAGTGAAACCGGTAGTGGTATCGATAGTGAGAGCACAGGTAAGATCCATAGTGAGAACGATAACGACATCACATCGCAGCGCATCATCGCCATCACGCGTCGTCGCTAACTCGAGGGCGCGTCGCCAACATCGTCATTATCACACCCATCGCAGTTGCCAGCAGTTGGCTCTTCCCCCCGCACCCCCGAACCTCTTTCTCACCCGAAGGGTGGTCGTATAGGTATCTTCTTGTCTGCAGCTCAGGCCAGCTTGAGCACCGGCCCGAAACTTGTGATTGCGATCTCGGCTCCTGAGCAACTTGAGCCTGTGATCGTGACAACCGGCTTCCCCCCCTCCAGCCTCGAGGTGGACAGAACCCCCACCCTGACACGTCGATCAGCGAACTGTCCGTTTTCGGTTCTCGAGAGGGCGCCGCGGCCGTCGTTTTTCCAGGCCTGCGCCCGCCAGGCCTGGGCCCGAGGTCGTTCTCACGGAACCGCGCTTCACCAGAGGGGGCGCCGCCCAGCCCCGACGGCCGCGGGAGGAGGCCGTCCTGGAACGCCCGCCTGAAGAGCCTGATCCTGGACTTCCACGGGCGCTGCTCCGAGGCCCCCGCGCGGGGGGCGCGCCGTCCCCAGCGCACGAAGGTTAGGTCGGGCCTGTCCCTCTACAGGGGGAACGCTCAAAAATAAAGAAAAAATAGCCTGGGGACGATTCTCTGACCATTTTTGGCCACTTGGGGGCATTTTTCTGGTATTGTTAGTTTTTCGTCCAAGATCCCCCTGAAGGGGGGCATGCCCGACCTAACACTGAGGGCGCGGCCGCCGCACCCGCGCCATCGTCTTGTGCGCGCGCCGCCCGTGGGCAGGGACGCGCAGGCCCAGGGGGGGGGGAGCCTTGGCGTCGCTCGGCCGTGTGCACGCCTCCCCCGGCGAGGAGCATCGAGGAGCATCTCGGGAGCCTCGAGACGGGGGTCAAGGCAGGCGGGGGTCAGCCAGGGCACCGGATCCTGCAGGATCCTGCGAAGACCCCCTCTGGCTGACCCGGGTTAGCGAGCCGCTCGTGGCCGCGAGGCGGCCGCGCCTATTGGCTGACCCGGGCTTGCGAAGACCTGCGTAGCAGTTTTTGTCCGGCATCGCAGTTTTTGGTTTCCTGCTGACCGGGGTCTGGATTAACCGGGTCAGAAGATCCCCGAGCATTTTGCATCGTCTCACCAAAACAGATACGCACGAGATCGAAACGTGCACGGGGGAGTAGACGTCCGAGCGAGGGCGAGGAGCACGTCGACCCCTGGTCGCACAGGCGCTTTCCTCGCGCCGTGGCAAGCACCACGCCAGGCGGTCTTCTGCCGTGTTCGGCTTCCGGGGGCCCTCGCCTTGTCCTGGGAACGTCCACAGGCAACTCGGGATGGAGAGCTGGTCCCCGGGAAGTGGTCCAGAGCTCTGGGGAGCCACGTTGTTCTTTCAATCACGACGTCGGATGCCTGGTCTGATCGACGGTAGGGTCCTGATAGCCCCCACTCCGCTCAGGAGCGCCCTGTTTCGCTATCGAGGGCCCGTCATCGATCTATCGGCGATGCATCGCCGGTACGAGCTCGATGTTTTCCCCCTAGCTTCCCCTCCCAGACGTTCCCCTGTTAGTTTGCGCCTGGTCTTGATGCTGTCTGTCGAGAACAGGAGCCACATACTCACATATGCTCACAACCTCCTCTGCCCACGGGCATGGTGAACGTTCTTCGGTGCACGTTGGGAGCGGGAAGCGCTCCACAGAGTATGCGCCATATGCTTTGAGCGAAGGCGCACATCAGAGTGAGGGGGTCGAATGGTCATTCATCGTTCCTGGGTGCGTGGCTGAAGTGTGACTCCGCTTTGTGTGTGGATTGTTGTTGTTCTTGTTGCGTTGCGTTGTTTTATTGCTGTTGCCGTGACCCGCTCGCGGTCCACCCGTGACCCGCGACCCACCCGCCCGCCTCCTCACTCTTATCCGCAATTGCGGGGTGCTGCGCACCTTGTATGTGCGGCCCCCATGATCTTGATTCTCGGGGGGGCAGTTCGACGCAGCGGCGGAGACGCTTCGTCGCTTACCGCCCGTCCCACATTGCCCCTCGCCGGACGGCCCGAGGGTGACCTCATGACATGCAGAGGACATGCCGAGCGGAGTCCAGGACGGCCCGCAGCTCCAAGGCGGCTCAACGCGGCCAGCAGGCGGCCCCCGGGAGGCGCCCCCGAGCGGGCCAGAGAGAGAGAGGCAGGTGCTGCGAGCTGGCCCAGTCGGGCCTGCAGCCGGCCCGAGCGCGAACACTCTCTCGTGGAGCTCGAGCCCCGTGCGAGGGTATCCCAAACCATGCCCGGGCCAGGATCGTCTTGGGCTCGGTTGGGAGGCCCAGGCTGGAGCCGGAGAGTCGTCCGAGGATGGGTCCCGGAGCGCGTCCGAGAAAACAATGGGAACCCCCCTACGCAACCAGCAGCTCCGCAGACGAGTTCGGAAAGCGGCCAGGAGAGGGTCCCGGACGGCCCCCCGCCAGGCGAAGAGCGTTAGTATCGGGGGTGGGCAGAACCCCCAACAGTGACACGTCGATTAGTGGATTGTCCGTTTTCGGTTCTCGAGAGGGCGCCGTGGCCGTTATTTTCCAGGCTTGCGCCCGCCAGCTTTGGGCCTCAGGTCGTTTTCACTAAACCACGTTTGACTAAAGGGGGGTCTGTCCATCCCCGAGTTAGAGACCTGAGATACCTAGTAGTTCGGCTGTGACGCGCGACACGCGACGAGCAAGTGCGGTCCCAGGAATGGTGCCCACAGCTTTTGTAACTGACTTCGATGGGTTGTCACCAAGTCGGAGGTTTGGGTTCCCTTTCCCTTCCCAATAAATGTCCTCCCCGCGACCTCAGGCCTCCATTCAGAACGTCCAGCTGGACCTGGTGACGGGCGACGAGTTCGAGGACGACCCCCCAAAGAAGGGAGAGCCCGAGCTTCTGTTCGGCAAGACCGGGCTGGGCACCTTCGTGCTGGATTACAAGCACCCCCTTGGGACGGTGCAGGCGTTCGCGATCGCGCTCACAACAAACATGTGGCGCTAGGTTGCTTTAGGCGCTTGGACTTGCTTTCAACAAGGGAGTGGGTTGCAGGTGAACCATGAGGTTCCCGAGTTGCCCCTTCAGGCACGGCCTCTTAACTCGGCGAGGTTCAGCTCTGGCATGCGAGGACGGCGGCAGTGTAGGCGGAGCTCGAAAGTGGTGGGGCGGGAAAGAGGAGACATGTACTGATCTCCGCGCACCCTACCCTGAGCTCTGCGCGCTCCATCTCGACTGCTTGAGTATACAAGGTTTCCGCTCGACAACGTTTCATGAGCGGACCCTCAAGAGGCACGCGCCTCAGGAGAGGGCCCCTTACCCCTCCCCATCCCTGATCCCATGTGGAGCGATACAGATCAGCCCGATGAATACAGACGATGCTGGGCGAGAGTGTGGATACAACGAACTGGTAACGCTTGCGCAGCGGACGGCGCCCCGATGCACGGCATCCCGCCCAGTCCCGCAGCGCGTTTCCCGTCCTTTCTGCCCGTCCTGGCTCCCGTGGGCTGCAAGACCTTACGATCTGCAGTAAAGGTATCACGTGCGAGGCGGGGGGACGCGGAGGAGGCAGCAGAGCCGCTCGACGAGCCCAGGTCACAATCACGCAAAGGGAAAGGCGACGAGCAGGACGACGAAGAGGTGGAGGAATGAAGGGAAGGGGCGAGGAGCGACCAATTAGCATAGCGGCATTGGATTATGTCTGTGTTCGATTGCAGCCTCTGGACGCCTCGACTGCTTTTTTTTCACTGGCTGCACCACTTGCTTCAACCTCTGCCTGCTTGGAACTGTGTAGGGTTCCACGGCCGTCCTTTTGGCTGTTCTCGGCGAGGCATTTTGATCACATTTACGGCTCTATGTTCGCCTTTTCCACCGCTACGCAAGGACAGCTAGCGCCTGCCTGCGGCATCTGAAGTCAGCAACGGCTTCCTCCCTTACCACTCGCCCTCCTCCTTTCCTCCTTTATCTCCCCCACCTCCCCCACCTCGTCCTCCTCTCCTCCTCCTCCTCCTCCTCCTCCTCCTCCTCCTCCTCCTCCTCCTCCTCCTCCTCCTCCTCCTCCTCCTCCTCCTCCTCGCTCTCCTACTCGCTCTCCTCCTCCTCCTCCTCATCCTCCTCATCCTCCTCCTGGACTCTCGAGGATCCAAGCTTTGAATGACTTATCGTTTTCGGCTCCCATGAGGCCTCTGGGGTCTTCGGAGACCTCCAAAGACCCCGAGGATTTCTGGAGTCCTCTGGAATCCTCCTCATCCTCCCTCTTCTCAGGGCGAGGACCATGGAAAGAACCGGGAGGAGAGGAGGAAAGGAGGAGGCGGAGGAGGAGGAGGACGACGATGAGGAGAAGAGGAAACGGGAGGAAGAGGCAAGACCCTCAGAGCCGCCAGAACCCCGCATAACTACTACAGTCGCCCTCGATGCCATCCACCCTCCCGCTGCTCCTGCTCCCCAGGAGGCCCCCGACGCGGGGCCCAGGAAGGGCCCGCGGGTGCCGAGACTTGCCCAGCACGCCCCGTCGTGAGCTCTCAATGGCGCGAGGAGGTCTGGCCGGCGGCGAGCTCCGAACCCCGCCCTCGCCGATCAGCGACTCAGGCGACTCGATGGGCGGCGGGGGTACGGTTCGGAATGCGTCGAACACGTGGCGAGACCCGAACCCTACGCCTGGCTCCCATCGATTCAGAAGAATCGGTGGTTGGTGCGATCAGGGTTCGGATGCCGCCCCCCCCCCTCCCCCTCGGCATCCGCGCCCCCGGTCTGCTGCCTTCGCGCTCCGTTTCGTGGATGTCGTACCCTGGGCCCAGGCGTTTCTTTGGCTCCCTTGCTCCTCCATCTCCTTTGCCTCAGACGAGGAGTGAACAGGGCGAGGAGGCGGAGAAGGAGGAGGAGGAGGAGAAGGAGGAGGAGGAGGAGGAAGAGGAGGAGGAGGAGGAGGGGGAGGAGGCGGGAGAAGGAGGTGGGAGGAGGTGCGCGCCTGGCAAGCCGCGCGAGACAAGACATCGTCTCGCGCGGGTTGCCCGAGGGCTGCCCGCAAGCTCGACGCGACATCTGGCAGCCTCCCTGTCCGAGGCTGCGAGGAGCCGTCCGCGTCTGCACGTCCCGATCATCGAAGCCGAGCCTTCGCCCCCGGCCAATGCCGGCTCAGAATCCACCTCAGGGCGCTCCAGTATAGGTAAGGACCTCGCACTCGAGGGATCGAGAAGCGCGACGCCTCGCCCTCAGCGGCGAGGCGGCCAGCAAGGCCGGAGCGAGGGCGGCTCTGAGGGTTCGGCGGAAGCCGGCGGAGCGATCGCGGACCCCGCCAAGGAAGAGAGGTATCACCGGAGCCCCTCCGTCTGGGGCGCTCTGAGAGGGTTTTCTGCCGCGGGAGAGTCGGCAAAGTGGCGTCTCGCCCGCGGCGGAGGCCAGCGGAGGCCGGCCGAAGGCAGGAGCTGGCCGAAGCACTGCCCCCCCCCCCCGGAGAGGGGTCCACGCTGGGAGATTCCAGCGGAGGCCAGCCGCGCCCAGCGGCTGCGTTACAGTCGGGGCGTTGACCTAAGGAACCCTAAATAAGGAACGAGGCCCCTTTTTTCCATAAGTTAAACTTCGACTTCCTATCGAAAGCATAAGGAAACCCTGAGGCAAGCTGCGAAACACTTAAGGAACGCGGAGCCCCTCCCCAACGAAAAGGGTTCCTTTTTCAGGGCCCTGACTGTATGGCACCCACCGTGGCTGGATCCGTGGCCGCTGCGACACCTCGCTGGGGGTACGTCGTCATGGGGGTGCAGTTGGCCCTCCCCTGATAATCACACAGGGTCTCTGGACTGGGGAGGTCCGCGTTGGCCTCCACTGTACCCCAAGATCGATTTTCCCCATCCAATCTACGACGGGGTGAGGTTTGCGATCTTCCAAGGAGGAAGAGGTACCCCATATCGCTACCCTTCCCTCGGTTTCCCCTCTTTGGGGTCTCCTGGGAGGCCCTCGTCGCCACGGCTGGATTCACCTCGGAAGCCTGGTTAGAACAAACCCCGGGAGCCCAGTCCCCTGACGTGGTGATTTTTTTCACAACGTTGACCCCCAGAGGTCTGGACCCCTCCCCCGGGACCGGTTCCGGTGTTTCATCCTGAGTCGTGGTTTGACGGTCCCGAGGCCCGGCGAGGACCCTCTTGGATGCTGAAAAGATAGCGTGAAACCTCCCGTCGTGGATTGTTTGCCGTGCGGGGGGGTCTAGGGTTTGCCAAATGTTTGTTCTCAGCGGGCCGGGGAGGAGGGCGGGGGCTCCGCATCGATCAGTCAGTACAGGGGATCCTTCGTTCTGCCCGCCGGGCAAAGCACGCTCGGCGCGCTGAGCGGCTGCCACGCTTTGGTGAACCTGCAGTGTCCACGCCGCAGAACTACATAGAGCCCAGCGGCGGGAATTCAGGCTGCTCTTTCGAGCCTGCTTAGATAGGATTGCACTCACATCAACTCGAGCCTCGCCTTCTCCTCCTCGCCGGGCTGAACGAGGCAGGATCGCAGATCGCGTTTACAATACCAGCTCGGGCGTTCCTCTGCCATGGCCGCGGAAAACGTACGCTCGGGAAGAGGCACGGGCAGAGGCAGACAGGTAGCTGGTGGGCAGAGGCGAGCGTTCAGGCGCGTATGGGTTGATTGACAGCGACAGACAAACAGACAGACAGACAGACAGACAGACAGACAGACAGACAGACAGACAGAGACAGACAGACAGGTAGACAGAGACAGACAGACAGGTAGACAGACAGACAGACAGACAGACATCGAGACAGACAGAGACTGACAGAAACTGACAGAGACTGACAGACAGAAAAACAGACATACAGACATACAGACATACAGACATGGAGACATGCAGACACACAGACAGAGACAGAGACAGAGGCAGAGGCAGAGACAGAGACAAATAGATGAACCTAGACCTAGCCTAGACATCGACAGAGACATAGACCTAGACATAGACATAGCATAGACATAGACATAGACATATACATAGACATAGACATAGACATAGACATAGACATAGACATAGACATAGACAGACACACACACACACGGTCAGACGGATACACAGACCCGGAGGTGCTCCGCAGTTTGGGCCCCGTCTCTTTGGCGCCGAGCTGTGGTGGCCTGGTGGAGGAAGGCTCTGAGAGGCTGCCGCCACGGAGCCGTGCCGCCCGTGGGAAGCGGCGACGCGGCTCCACACCGGGGGCCTTCCGCACCTCAGAGGCGCGCCGCCGCTGGCCTGCCACGCCCCGCTCGAGGGGCCGCCCACGGCAAGGCAAGGCTGACGCCAGCGCCCGCCGCGCTCGGCGAGGTGGTCTGGCCAGGCCAGCGGCGTTGCACATTCTGCTCATGCAAGGGGGGCGTCCAGGGGGCCAGGGGCCCTTCCCAGCGGCAAGGATCGGCCACGCGCAGGAGGGGGATTCGAGGGACGGGGGGAGGCTGCTTAGAAGCACCCTGCTTCTTAGAGGGCGAGGGCCTTATCATCTGCAGATGCCAGGCCGGCGCCTTCTAAGAAGCAGCCTCCTTCAAGGAAGCCTTCCCTCCTCACCCTGCCCCCGTGTGCGCGCCGCCACACATGCGTCACGGCGCGGGCCGCTTTTCTCGCAGGCCCCCAGGGGCCCTGGAGGGGGCCTCTCCAGAGGCCAAGAGCATGGGGACCTGTTCTGCGCTATGCCCCCGTGGGGGGGCAGCACCTCACCGATCGGCGGCCACCCGAGTCACGGACGAAGGCGCCGATGCTGGGTTTCTTGCCGCGGCCAGCGGGCCTTCGATCGCAGGACTGCCTGCACCTCATCCGGATCGGCCGAGCAAGGGGGGATGAGGATATTGAGAGAGAGAGGATGGGGGGGGAGGGGTGAAGGGGTAGGAGGAGGGGGAGGGGGAGGAGAGGGAGGAGGAGGAGGAGGGAGGAGGGCGAGAGGAGAAGGAGGAGGAGGAGGAGGAAAAAGAGGAGGATGAGGAGGCCACTTTTTGTGCTGCGATGCCCAGGACGGATGGGGGCGTGCCTTGCCCTGTTCCAGGGCCCACCCGGGATCGCCGCGCCGGGCGACCCCCAGTTGTCGTCGGACACGCGGTGTGGCGCATGGCTCGATGCGCCACCCGCCTCTGCCCTGCAGCATCGTGGCGATGGTCTTCCTCCTCCTCCTCCTCCTCCTCCTCCTCCTCCCCCTCCTCCCCCTCCTCCCCCTTCTCCCCCTCCTCCTCCTCCCCCCCCTCCTCCTCCCCCTCCCCCTCCTCCTCCTCATTTCCCCCCCATCCACAATTACTCAACATGAATACTACTCTCCCTCTTCCCCTGATGACGTCCAGGGAGTAGTAGACCCCCCCCGCGTACTGTTTTTTTACACAAAGGATTCCCAGGAGTTGGGTTTTCGCCTGCGTTTTTTTCAAAATGCTGCTCTCGCTGAGGCGCCGGCCTCATTTCTGCTCCCGAATCGTTCCGCATCGTGCTCCCGCTGCAGCGTGGGCCTCATTTTCGGATCGGTGTTTTGCCTCCGTCGTTCAGGATGGCGTTCTCGCCCCAGCGCGGGCCTCTTTCTCGCGCGCCCATCCGCCCGCCACCACCGCGCCGCACCACGCCCCGTCCCGCCGCACGCACACCCACCGCCACTTCCACCCACCAACGCACGCACGCACGCACGCGCACCACCACCGCGCACCGCCACCACCACCGCACTACCCCACCCACCACCACCACGCTACACCGCGTCACACCACATCACACGCGCGCACACACAGACACACACGCACGCACGCACGCACACACACACACACACACATACACACGCACACACACACACGCACACACACAGACACACACACACACACACACACGCCACCACCACCACCACCGCCATCACGCACGTACGGACCTGGCCCACCACCAAACCACCAAGACGCCACACCACGTCACACCACAGCACACGCGCACACACGCACACACACACATACACACCACCACCACCACACAACCACAACCACGCACACACGCACGCACGCACGCGCACCACCACCCACTACGCACACGCGCGCGGAGCCACAGGTCCGCTACGACACGCGTCCGCGGATAGAGAAAATCAGCGCCATGGTAAGGGATGGGAGGGAGGGGTCGGATGTCAGATGTTGACGCGAGCGCACCTAACTTGTCCTCCTCCCCCTCCCCCTCCTCCTCCCCCTGTGGGGGCCCTGAGGGAAAAGGTTCCCAGACCCTGAGGCTCCCCCCAGGGTCCGTCGTTGGCGCCGTCGGGGCCCGTGGAGGCTTCCCAGAGGTTGCCCGCCTCTGCGGGCTGCCGGTCAGGCGCCCATCGTGCTCCGAGAGAGCCCAGCGCCAGGGCTGCGGGCAACGTTTTATGATAATCCACATTCAGTGAGTCTTGGACGTTCATGGAAGGGTCGCCGCGAGGCACAGGCGCACTTTGACATGGACAAGAATCGAGCATCTATGGGACCAGATGTGTATCTATATCCAGTGCGCCTCGGCTTTCTGGGGAAGGGAGCCAAAAACTTCAAGCTGCAGTGGATGCGGACCCAAGTCTTGCCCGCAAGGACATCGGCGGTGATCGTCCTCGTCCTCCTCGCTTCGCGCTCCTGGGCTTTCATCCCTTCCTCTTCGTCCTTGTTTTTCCCAGCTCCTCCTCCTCCTCCTCCTCTTTCGCCTCCTCCTCCTTGTCCTTCCGCGTCATCCTGGTAATCAGTCTCCCCCACCCTCCTCCCCCTTCCCTCTTTCCCCGCCTCCTTGTATCCCACCCCCTCCTTCCTCCCCGACCTTCCTGCATTACCGACCTCTCCCCCGCCGCGGTCCCCGAGACTTCCATGGGAGACCACCGCCCCCTGAAGGGCCGCCCGGGGCAGCCGGCATGAGCGTTACCGCTGGCACGAGGGCTGAGAGCAGCCCTTGTTTCAGAGGGTTACCGTTGTGTTCTCCTTTGCTCTAGACTTCGGCATGCTCCTCGTTTAGATCAGCTCCACTGGGCTCTCGGCCAAGGAGCTGATGTTCTGGACCAGCGTTATCCTGGCCACGGTTCGAGTGCACAGTCACGACGCCGAAAGAAGTACTCTCTTGGCGTTCATGAGTGGCTCCAGTTTTGAGGCCGCTCCTCAGATGCAGGCCAGGGGGCTTCTCGTGGCCGAGGCTCGCCGCGGCCAGGAGAGCCATGCCGCTTTCCCTCGGGGTGGCACGATGATAGTAGGCCGCGGGCGATGCCATCGTTTCTCTACAAAGGGCCCTGTCCTCCCCCCTCCCCCTCCCCCTCTCCTCCTCCTCCGCCTCTTCCTGTTCCCCCTCCTCCTCCTCCTCCTCCTCTTCCTCCTCCTCCTCCTCTTCCTCCTCCTCCTCCTCCTCGTCCTCCTCCTCCGCCTCCGCCTCCTCCTCCCCCCCTCCTCCTCCTCCTCGTCCTCCTCCTCCTCCTCCTCCTCCTCCTCCTCCTACTCCTCCTACTCCTCCCCCCCCCCACCCCGCCCTTGCGGCAAGAGCGGCGGCCGGCCCCGCGAGGCTGACGGTGGCGAGGCCGCGCCTGGCAGGCCGTGCGTGCCATGAGCCGGGCGGGCTGGGCGATGTCCGCACATCGCGCGGTGTCCTCCCACCCTTGAGTCGGGCCCGTCCCTCTACAGGAGGGGTATTCGAAGATAGTACAAAAAAAGTCAGGAGGGGGTATTCGAAGATAGTTCAAAATTAGTCAGGGGACGAATTTTCTTTTATGTTGGACTACTTTCGAATATTTTTGGGGTGTCTGCATTTTTCGTCCAAAATCCGCCTGTCGGAGGACATGCCCAACCTCCCCGTGTTCTTCCCAGCTCGTCTCCATCTTTTGAAGAAGAACATGCCACATAAACATAAACTGTTGGCGCTCCGCGCTGAGCGCCAAAAGTTTATGTTGGTGTGTATTGTTATTATTCGAATATTCCCTCATATTCTTTTCGTCATCCTACATTCATCCATGTCGCCAGTCGCCATCAGCTGCAGCAGCATCTTCTTCCTTCTCGTCATCATCCTCGTCTCCCTCCTGCTGTCACCACATCAACTCCTCGCCCTCCTGCTTCTCCTCCCCCTCCCCCTCGTTCTCCTGCCCCTCCTCCTCGGAGCCTCGAAGTTGCGACCACTGGGGTCGATACGAGACGCTGCCCTGCCCCCCCCCGCCAGCGGCCCGCTCGCCGCCCCGGCCGGGGGGGGGGGGACGGGCGCGGGAGAATATTATCATTCGGGCAGAATGAAGAGGCAAGGAGGGGAGAACATGCTCGGGAAGGCCCTGGACCGCCTTAATCGTTCCGGCGTTTTCGGGGACGCGCCACAGGCCGTTCCGGAGCGCCCTGGAACGGCCGCGTCACCCGAACGAAATAGTTCCTGGTCCTGGCTTCGTCTCACACGCCACCGTGGAGGAGGGGGAGGAGGAGTAGGACGAGGACGAGGATCGTTCTAAACCCAAGACGAATCAACGATGTTGCAATTCCACCCTCCCTCCCTACAAGCTTTTTATGTAATTATCGGAAGTGGCCCATGAAAGGACATGCGTCTAATAATTGTCAGTCGCGCCAGAGCACTGTTCCTGGGACTTCATTGCCGTGGATCAGCATGAGTTTTGCGTCTTGACAATTTGAAATTGTGCCAGAGCTCCGTTCCTGGGATATCAGCTTCGCGAATCAACGCGACGATTGGGTCATGTCAGTTCTGAACCGGATGAAAATGCCATTCTTGGGATGTCAATCGCACGAATCAGGAAAACTTCTGCGCCGTTTTAAGGCGAATGTGCGCGGCGCAAAAGCGAGAGTCACATCTTAAAATATGAAACGTCCTCCGTCCTTGAACAGATGCAAACGTAGTAAAGCGAATGTGCGCGGCGCGAATGCGAGAGTTACAAGGTGAAAACCACGCGCCCTCCATGTTGAGGCTATTGCAAGCTTCGAGACGAGTGCGCGCGGCGCTGGGGCGAGAACCACAGTTAGAACATGTTCCGCCCTGCAACTTGGAAGCTGTTGCGAACATTTAAAACGAATGTGCGCGGCGCTAAATCGGCAACAACATTTAAAAAACACGGCCCGCCCTCCACCTGTGAAGTTGTGGCAAATCTCATGTTTCAGGATTATAAGTGGTGATGAAATGTCAGGCGAAATGCAGGGGTCGGCTGTTCATAGTGAGTTGTTTGCAAGGTAAAATGTGATATCAAACCCACCAAAAAACAGTCAGAACACCATTCCTGGGACTTGAGCCATACGAATATTTGTAGTTGTTGCAAGCGTCTACATGCTGAAAACGAAGGACGCTCCATTCGTGAGGCTGTTGCAACCATTCAAGACAAATGTGTGCGGCGCTCAGGCAGGAGCCAAAGTTTGAAAACCACTCGCACTCTATCCCGGAAGCAATTGCAAACTGGTGAGGCGATCGAGCGCAGCGCTGCAAGCGGGAGCACCATTTTGATAATCATCTTCCCTCCATATGTGAAGCTGTGGCAACTCTTTCAGACGAGTGTGCGCGGCGTTATAGCGAGAGAAACATGTTGAGATCCTCCGGCCCTTCATCCACGACGCGGCTGCGAATTTGTAGGACGAATGTGCTCCGTGCTATCGCGAGAACCGCATAATGAACACGTCCCGCCCTCCGTACGTGAAACAGCCGTACACTGTTAAGGCGACTTGACGTTGAGCTAACGCGAGAGCCACACTTCGAAAACACCCAGCGTCCATGTTTGAAGCTGTTGAGCAAATTGCTAGACGAACGCGTGCGGCACGAAGGCGATAGCCACATTTTGAATCAGGGCCCGCCTTCCTCCACAGAAGCATTTGCACACTTCACTATGTAGGATCAGACATGGCGAGGAAGTGTCGGGGGGAACGCCTGGCCCGCCCTGCTGGCGCGTCTGGGGGTGGGGGGAGCGACAGGGGGGAGTCACTTGAAAGGAAAAGGGATGATGGAGGAGAGGGGGAGAGGACAACCCCTCTCTACTCGCACAGTCGGATGTCGAGCAGGGCAATGATCCCGAAAGGGTACGCGATGCATTGTAGAGCACGGCGTGGCATGGCGTAGAAGAGCACTGCAAAGCGTAGTATGTCACAGCATGGCGTGGCGTGGCGTAGTGAAGAATTGCATCGCAAAGCTTTGCAACGCAAAGCATGGCATCGCACAGCGGCCCCGAACCCAACATTGCATAGCATGGCGTTGAATATCAAAGCGTAGCATGGCATAGCACGACGTGGCACTTAAGCACTGCATATCACAGTTTCAGCTGAAGGCATGGCATCGCGCAGCGGAACGCAACCTAGCATTGCATTGCATGCCGTGGCATGGCGCTGGAAATGACGCCAGCGCTGCAGCGGGAGCACGATTCGGAACGAGCGGAAGCGCGGAAATACGGCCAGCGCTGCGCAGCGGGAGCACGATTCGGAACGAGCGGAAGCACGGAAATGAGACCAGCGCTGCAGCGGGAGCACGATTCGGAACGAGCGGGGCCCGAAAATGAGGCCGGCGCCTCAGCGAGAGCAGCATTTTAAAAACAAATGCAGGCGAAAACCCAATTCCGGGGAATCCTGTGTGTAAAAAAACCGTACGCGGGGGGGGGGGGGGGGGGGGGCGGGGTCCCAACCCGTCATCAGGGGAAGGAGGGGAGTAGTATTCATATTGAGTAACTGTGGAGGCGTTTCGACATGAACTACAAGGCGGATGACAATTAGCGCCGCGGGGTTGGTTCGACTGTCAGGTCTTTCCTCCTTGGGCGAAGACCCTTGCAAATCGGACTAAAGGACCAGGTATGCGTTGGCGTGGGTTGGCCACGCTCTTTTGCTAGGCCTTGGGTTTAAGTCTGGGTGACGCAGGAATGGCACCCAAGATAAGCTGTAGTACAAGCCGTTCGAATTTAGAAGTGGTATTGCTGCACGGTTCAGTGCCCAAAGAAAGGGGCCATCAAGTTTGGAGGAGCCCGAAAAGACACCTCTAGCAGGGGGAAGGCCCCCTCTTCCCTTACGCGCAACGAAACAGTTCGACAATGTCAAAAACAAGCACAGTGACGCAAGACCACGTGACCCACGCATGGAAAGGACCCCGGGGTTCCTTGGGATCCGCGCGCGGGGGCAATCCAAGGGGGACAGGCACAGCCAAGGCGGGGCCATGACGGAAGTGCATTGGCAGCCAACGTGCGCGCGGGTTTGGGCTGTCATCCTGATGGCCAGTTGTAGCAATTTGTCTTCATAAGCACAGAGTTGGGCAACAACACCGAGGTTCGCGGCCTTGTCGGCCCCATCGTTGCCCGTGCGCAGCCAGCTCTCTCGAGCAGAGATGCCCGCCTCCAACGGGCAACGGACCCCCCCCGACCCGAAATAACACCATGAGCTATTACACGAGCTTCTGATATATCGGCTGCTCCTGACTCGGACTTGCGCGGTGCTGCGTCACATTCGCGCAGTCTGAGAAAATCGTGGGGGGCACCTTCGACCTCCATTCCTCCGCGAGCAACGCCCGCAAACTCAGCGCACAGCGAGGCATGGTGAAACGGGGCGTGGACACGCCCACGCAACCTGGCGGGCCGTCGACCGTCGCCCCCCAGGACAGCCAGCCCGTAGCCCGCGCGGGAGGGATTGCGGATCTCGCGGCGGTGGCAGCTGCCAGCGACAAAAAAGCGACCCGCAAATTTGCGCCCTTTTTGGAGGGGGGCTCGCCCAAAACACCTGCGCCTGGAAATCCACATCTTCCAGAGCGGGCCACGGAGCTGCGCCCCCAGCGCCAAGGAGCGTCCGCGGGGTCGGACATCTCCGCGTCAGCTGCTCGCTGGATAATACCAGAGTTGACAAGCTCCTCGAGCAGAGAAGCCGCGCGCGGACGAACCCGCATGCGATGGTGCACCGCGACGCCTGCGTGGCCGCAGAGAGGACAACCATTGCGAAATTTGTGGCTTGCTTTCTCCGTTCTGTAGTGCGTCCGCGACGCCTCGCACGCCAAACTTGTCAAAGCCCACGCCTTCATCCAGTCGCGAACCGCGTCAAAGCGCAACCAGGGGCCATCGACGCCAGCTCTGCGAGCAGCTTCGCGCTCGATGCCTTTGAGAGGGGCGGCGCGCAGCATCTTCCTGAACGCGGCTGGCGGAACCCCGGTGAGCTGCAGAGTTCCCCCCATATCATTGACGCGCGTGGCGCGGTCAGTCATCCGCCACTTGGTCCGCTCCGAATGAAGATTCCGCGCGGAGATGGGCCCCGGCACTTCGCGCCACGGCGGTTCAGGGCGATAGGCGCAGCTCGCCAGCCTGCGCCAAGCTGGGCGAAGATCGAAGAGAACAGACGCGACTGCGTCTGCAAGGCCCCGCCTCTGTGGCGCAGCGCACGTGGGAGGCAACCGCGCCTAACCCTATGGGGCCGTCATGGCATGCCATGGTCGCGGACTAGACGCGCGAAGCGAGCAGACTTGTAGGCGGCAGTCGCAAGCTTGAACATCTGGGTCGGGGGGCCGACTTGAATGCAAAGTTCCCCCAGGCGACGCAAGCATATTCCCTCGTAGAACTCAGGCATATCCACGAGAAGCGCGCCACTGACGCCTCCTTGTCGACGTGCTTGCCTCTGCCCCGAAGCCCTGTCTCCACGCGGCGTCTCTAGCCGGCGCATCGGCCTGTCCCGCGGCGAAAGAGCGCCGGTGGTTGAGCTCCCGCGTCGGCGCGAAACATCGACGGCATCGGCCCCCGCCATCTGTAGAGCGAGCAGGAGAAGCCAATGGGCCGCCGGCCGCCCGACGGTTACCTTTCCCTACCAGTTCTCGTCACCGTTGTCATCACCTTCATCATCACCATCATCTTCATCATCTTCATCATCAGCAGCAGCATCATCATCATCATCATCAGCATCAGCATCAGCATCAGCATCAGCATCATCATCCGCCTCCAGTTGGATGCCTCTCGAGGTCCTGGGAGGCCTCCTAGAGCCCTCGAGACCCCTCTGGAGGCCCAGAGGGTATCAGAAACGTCCAAAACCCTCCGCCCTCGATCTTCCTCCTCCTCTCCCTCCTTCCCAAATTCTCGGCAGCTCGATTTGTTCGGAACATGGCCCCCCAGACCTTTCAACCCCTTCCCAAGGGCCAGCTTGTCACCCCAAGCCTTTCTGTTAAGATGTCGGGGCCTGGAACAGGCCTCCTGCGGACCAAGAGGGCGAAATCCTCTCGGAGGGTGAGGAGGAGGAGGAGGAGGAGGAAAAGGAGGAGGAGAAGGGGGAAGAGAAGGAAGGGAAGGAGAAGGAAGGGGAGGAGGAGGAGGAGGAGGAGGAGGTGGAGGAGGAGGAGGAGGAGGAAGAGGAGGAGAGAGTTCGAGCAGGTCTCCTTGTCTCGTCGGCGAGCCCAGGGTGGAAGTGAGCATGAGAAGATCTGCTCAGAAGGCTCGGAAGTTCCCCGGCCTTCTGAGAAGTTCTCCAAGCCTTCCCCGAAGACACCGAATCTTCCTCAGAAGGCGCGAGGGCTTCTGAGAAGCCCCGCCGCCTTCTGAGACGGCCTCCTCCTCCTCGCTGCCCCTCCCTCGCTCGCCGCCGATGGTCCTCGTGCCCGCCACGCCTCTCCTGCTTAATTCGGCAGCCCGAGCCGGGACCCGCGCGCAGGCCACCAAGGGAGGGAGGAGCAGGGGCGCCCTGGCGCCCGCCGTTGGCAACCCCCGCGCGCCGCAGGAACAAGACATCGGGGCGAGGAGCGGAAGGGAGGGAAGTAGGAGCCGAGGAAAGAAAACATTGCATAAACATATGTGTTCGCGGTCCGCGCGGATTCCTAGGGGGAGGATGACCAGCACCGGGATCAACGCACGATATGTGAGTGATGCTGCAGCACACCCTCCCGTCCCAGGCCCCCTTCTCGGAAGTTCCGACGGGGATCGTGTGCCACTGCGAGTGACCCCCTCTTGAAAGACAAGCGCCCGATGGGCTGGTCGTACGAGGCAGACCCCCTTGCGGACATGATCCGCCCTCCACATCTAGAGCTGTGCGAATTGGACGAGAATGATCGGGCTCAAAGACAGGACAGTGCACGGATGTACGGTCATGAAGTTCAGAGAAATGCCCAGCCATCGAAGCCAACCACATATTCTGCAGGAGCCCCGTTTTGGAAAGGAGCCGACCTCAGCTCGTGCATCTTGTTCCACGATTGACAACCCCGGGTCGTCTGTGACAAGGAGCCGCCCTCTATCCGTGCAATCGGTGCGCATACGTTCGTCTTCTGGCCATTCATGATTACCTTAAGATGCCCCCAGCGAGAGCTCAATAGTGAAAGCGATCCGCCCTCCATCCGTGCATCTCGGACATGCGGTTCAAGACGAGGTTGCGCGGCGCTGGGACGATAGCCTCATGTTGAAAACGACCCATAGTCAATCCGCTGAGCTGTCGGACATTGTTTGAGATGAGTTTCCACGACGCTTGGGCGAGAGCACCATTTTTGCAAACGAGCCGCCCTCCATCCGCGCAACCGTAGGCAACCCTGCGTATCCATACAATAAGTGATGAGGACAATCTCTGTTTGAAACGCCTTGCCCGCCCTACCGGAGAGGAGTTGTGCAGAAGGAGTAGAGGTGGAGGAGGAGGGGCCACCCTTCCGATGGATAATGGCAGACTGGGTACGTGTAGGAAGAGGATGAGGATGAAGGAGGAGCAGGAAAATCTACGTTTTTGACCTTTGGGGGCCCCTTTCTAGGTCTCCTGGAGCCTCGGGGACCTTCTGGGGATTGGTCTCCCCCCAATCTGACCAGCATCTCTGGGCTGTCTTGGCGGCTTTTTTTGTTCAGGTCCCCACGGGTTTGCCCAGCCCAGCCCCCAGCCTGGAAGGAAGAGCGGGGGAGGAGAAGGAAAGGGGGAGGGGGGAGGCGAGGGCAGAGGGCAGGGTGATAATAGCGGCGGGGAGGGGTGGCGCGTTGGATGGGGGGTGGAGAAGAGGGGGGAGAGGGGCGAGGGGGGGGGGCAAGGGCGAGGAATCTTGGGATGAGTGTTGCCAGCCCCTTCTCCTCGGCCCCTCCCTCTTGACTACCCCCCTCCCTCCCCCATCCCTCCCCTCCCTGTCCCTTCGCTCCTGCTGCTCTCCGTGTGTCTGCGCGCGTGAGCGCCGCGCGCGCACGTGTGTGTGTGTGTGTGAGTGTGTGTGTGTGTGTGTGTCTGTGTGTGTGTGTGTGTGTGTGTCTCGCTCCGTGGCGGCTCCCTCTCTTCCATCCGCTCTTCCTGCGCCTTCCGCCTTGCTCCTGCTGGCCTCTCCCGCAGCGCTCTATCGCGCACCCCTGCTTCTAAGAAGGCGCGGGCCGTACGTAGGTGTAAGGCCGGCGCCTTCTAAGAAGCAGCCCCCTTCTAAGAAGCCCTCCCCCCTTTCTCCACCCCCTTTGCGCGCGCCGCCAACGATCGCTCTCCTGCCTCGCTGCTGCACGCCACCCCGCGCCCCTGCGCCGCTCCAGGCCGCTGCCCCGTGCCGTCTCTTTGCTTTCAGCTGCTGCGCGCCTCGCGAGGGGCGCTTCACGCGCCGGGGCCCGCGCCGCGACGAGCGAAAAGTGCGTGTGCGTGTGCGCGTGCGTGCGTGCGTGCGTGCGTGCGTGCGTGCGTGCGTGCGTGCGTGCGTGCGTGCGTGCGTGCGCGTGCGCCTGCGCGTGTGCGTGTGCGTGTGCGTGTGCGTGTGCGTTTTGCGTGAACGTTTTCGTGTGCGTGTGCGTGTGCGTGTGTGTGTGTGCACGCTTCAGTGTTGCAGACAGGAGGGTGCGTCCTCCCCAAGGAGACACGGTCTGACTGGAAAGAGCCGAGGCCCAGGACTTGCCCTGTTTGCTGGTGGGCTGTTGATGCAGCTCGGTTGGGTTGCGACGTGACGTGACAGTCCCTGTCTATATTCTCCTCTCTTCCTCAAACTCACACCCCCTCCTTCCACCCTTCACTTTCCCCTTCCTACCTCGACAACTGCATATTTTGAATGCTATATACTCCACTATCTTCCCTGACCCTGTGCGGAATATGCTCGGCCCTCTCCGCGTATCCTTTTCGCACACAGGGTTTCAACTTGTGTATGTGTTCAAACATGTGTTTGCCATCCGATTGTTTTTCGATGCTTCAGAATGGTGCTCCCGCTGCAGCGTGGGCCTACTTGTTGGATCGGCGCTGCGCTCCCATCGTTCAGAATAGTGCTCGCGCCGCAGCGCGTGGCCCTCCTCCTTCACCTGGTCATCCTGCTCCTGCCACTCCTTCCACTACAGTTCCTGCTGCTGCTGCTGTTTTTCCTCGTCCTTCTCCTTCCTCATTCCCCTTTTCTTCCTGCTCATCCTCCTGCACACCCGCTGACTCCTTCTCCTCCTCCTTCTCCTCCTTCTATGTACGAAGCTCCCCTTTTCTGATTGCACATAACACGATGGGGTCTTTTTTGGAGTTCCAGGTCGACATGACACGCGTCCGCGGATAGAGAAACATGGGTGTAATGGAAAGGAATGGGAGGGAGGGATAGGATGTCAGATATGAGCGCACCTAGCTTGCCCCCCTCCCACTTCTCACCTCTCCTGTATCTCCCCCCTCCCCTCCCCTCCCTCATGCGCAAAACAGGGCTGGAGAGTTCCCAAAACGCTTATGACCGTGGGGAGGAGAGGCAGGATGAAAACGTGGGAAGAAGGAGCGGCTGGTGAAAGTTGCTGGTCTCTGATTGCCCGCAAAAGGGCCAACACGCATTCAAGAACGTCCGACCCTTCCCCGCACCTCGAGGACAGAGGAAAGAATTTCTGCAGGACGGGCAGCAGCAGCCCCGGAGAGATGGCCCAGGCCGCCCGAGCGGGGCCCGAGCGGAGGGGGTCGGCGGATCGCGCCACGGTGCCTCGGCGATACGGCGCGATCCGGAGCCCGACGCAGCGCCGATGCATCGCCGATACCGCATCCGTCCCGACGTCGCCGATGCAGCGCCGATGCCTCGCCGATGTGGCCCGATGCTCCGGCCCCACTCGCTCGGAGCCCACCCTGCTCGGTGCTCCAGAAAGGGCCTCGCCGTCGGCGAGTCTCGCCCTCGGCGGGAGGCGGCGGCAGAAGAGCGGCGGCGACTCTGGCATGGGTGGCCTGGGGGGAGGCGGCGGAGGTGAAGCGAGACGTCGGCATTTGCTGGTGCAGCGTTCCTGGAGTCGGTCATTCGGGCGGCCTCCGGCAGAGGGGCGGGGAGGCCGAGGGCTTCCCGAAGTGGCCCCTCGATCCCCGCAGGGGCGCCCGCCCGGCGCGCCTGCCGCCCGCGTGCGCGCGGGCACGAGAGGATGACTGCCAGACGGCAGCGGCGACGTCGATGACGACGCCGACGATGACGACGACGACGACGACGACGACGACGACGACGGCGACAGCGACGACGACGACGACGACGACGACGACGACGACGACGACGACGACGACGACGACGACGACGACGGCGGCGGCGGCGGCGGCGGCGGCGGCGGCGACGGCGCGCGGGAGGCGCCCGCCGCCACTGCGCGCGGGCGCGCGCGCCCTCGCGGGTCGCAGGTGGCGGCGTGCAGGAGGGCGACCGGGGGCTGGCGACTGCGGGCGCCCCGCCTGCGCTGGGAGAGATGAGCTCCACCCAGGAGCGGCGGGGACAGGGGGGGTCAGCCCAAAGGGGGGACGAGGGGAAGGTCGAGGGGGTCGAGGGGGGCTAAGCGGGGCCCAGAAGCTTTGCGGGGACGGGGACGCGGGGGCAGCGGGGTCGAGGGGAGGGCTCGCGGGGGAGGGAAGGGTGGAGCAGGTTGGTCGAGGGGAGGCGGGTGGTCAGGAGAGCCAAAGGGGGGGGAGCAGGCTCGAGGGGGGCACTCCGCCAAAGAGGGCGGAAAGAGGGCGGGACGGGAGCGCGGCGCGTGAGTTTGTTTATCCTGCGCAAAAAAATGTGACATATATATATATATATATATATACACACGTACATGCATACATACATACATACATATATACATGCATGCATGCATGCATGCATGCATGCATGCATGCATGCATACATACATACATACATGCACACATACATACATACATTTATACATACATGCATGCATACATACATACATACGTACGTACGTACCTACATATATATAAATATATGTAAACATATGTACATACATGCATCTATACATATGTACATACATACATTCATACATACATACATACACACATGCATACATACATACATGCATGCATGCATACATACATACATACATATATACAAACACGCATACATACACACATTTGCATACATACATACATACATACATACATACATACATACATATATCCGTACACACATACATACATGCATACATACATACACACGTACGTACACACATACAAGCATACATACATTCATACATACATACATACATAGATACACACATACATACACACATACATACATACATGCATACACAGATACATGCATACATACATACATACATACATACATACATACACATTTACATACATACATACATACATACATACATGCATGCATGCATGCATGCATGCATACATACATGTATATACAAATATATGTATACGTACAAACCTACATACACATATACATACATGCATACATACATACATACATGCATACATGCATGCATGCATCCATCCATACATACATACATAAATGCATACATACATACATATGTGCCCCCTGAGGCTCCCCTGAGACTTCCTGCACATTTCTGATCCTGAAGCTTGAAATGTACATCAGCATCACGGGTGAAAGGCGGCCCGGTTCCAACATATGGCCTCACCAAGGGGCCTCGAGCGTATTTGTTTCCAACGCCTGCAACAGCGTCCAGGATCGAGGGCGGGTTCCGTTTAGTATGTGGCTCTCACGTCAGGGTCGCGCGCATTCGTTGCAGTGTAGAGGTTTGAAGCAGTTTTAAACGATATGGAGGGGTTGTGGTTTCCAAATGTGGCTCTCGCGGTAGCGCCGTGCACACTCGTTCTCAAAGGTTGCAGCTGCTTGAAGGACGGAGAGCGGCTCTTCTTTTAAACATGTTGTTCTGGCTCATAACTCCACGCACCTGAGTCTTAACATAGTGCAACCGTTGCAGGGGCTCGTTTGGATGAAGTTTCAGAAAAAGGTGCTGTGGCACGGTTTGGGATTGCCAGGACGCGACAGTCAGTATGACCCGCGGTAATGGGATCCCAGAAGTGGGTTTCTGGAAGGATGTAGGGCTGTCCGGACGCAACTGTCACGTTGATTCGCGGCGCCAGAGTTCCAGGAATGATGTTTTGACATGGTTGGAGATAGACGGTTGTAGGAGGCATCAAGTCGTGTAGGGACCAATGAGCAGGGCGCTTCCCGCGATGAGCATGGATTCTTGCAGGGCCTTATAAAGAGGGAACGTGGATGGAGGGTTGATTGCAACATCGGTGAGGCGTCTTGGGTTTACATTTGTCCTCCTCCTTCTCCTCCTCGTCCTCCTCTTCTGGTTCCTGTTTTTGCTTTTCTCCCCGTTCGCTCTTTCTCTGTTCGCCCTCCCGCATCGCAGGCCGGATGGTAGGAATACAACTGGCTTGAAGCGGAGGGAGAGAGGGAGAAAGGGAGGAACACATGAGGGAGGGAATCGGAGGAGGGTGGACCAGTGTAAACCCAAGAAGCATCAACGGTAGTGCAACAACCCTTCCATCGAGATACCTTCTGTCCATGGGTCCCTACAAGAACTGATGCTCATTGCGGGACGTGCCCCGTTGGGAGTCAAACTTCATGCAGGTCCTCATCCATGAGCAAACGTAATTCCAAGGATTTCAACGCCGCGAGTCAACGTGCCCGCTGCGTCCTGACAATCCTAAACCGTGCCAGAGCATCGTTCTTCGGGGGACAATGAAAAGTACGTTCTGCACAAGGAACAGGAGGGAAACATGATTATATGGGAAGAGAACCAGCAGCAGCAAGAGGGGGAGACGTCGACGACGACGACGACGACGACGACGACGACGGCGGCGACAACGACGACGACGCTGACGTGGGCCAGAGTCCTCAGGGATGGTTCCTGGGGTCTCTTCGCAAGTCTCTCGGAGGCCTCTGGGGAAGAATTTAGGGTGCCTCTTGGGAGCCTCTTGGGGGCCTCTTGGGGGCCTTTTGGCTGCCCTTTCGGGCTTTCTGGTGACCGCCTCTTACAGGCCTCTTTGGGCCTCGGGGGATCCTCCTGGGGCCTCCTGGGAGCCTTTTGGGGCCGAAGGCTCGAAATATCAGTTTGGGTCCCCCGTCCAGGCACGCTTTTGGAGCCGTCTTGGGGGCATCTGGGGCCGTCTTGGAGGCGTTTGGGGCTGTCTTTGGGTCATCTTGGGCTGCTTCGGGGCTCTCTTGGAGGCCTCTTGGGCCGTCTTGGGGAGTTCTTTGGGGCCTCTGGCTCCAAGGTCCCTCTTCACAGGCCTCTATGAGGATTTATTTACACTGCGGGAAGAGCACCGTTGGAAGGCAACCATTTGAAAATCTTCCAACAGTGCCAGAGCAGCCGTCCTGGGGCTTCAACGCCGCGAGTCAACCTTATTGATTCGACCAGACGGTCGTTTCTGAGACCTCAACACAGCGAATCAACCTGACCGTCGTGGCCTGGCAATTTGCAATCATGGCCAAGCACCGTTCTGGGACGTCAACCATAAGTATCCTTGCCATTGCTGTGAACTCGTAAGACGCATGTGCGCGGCGCTTCGGCGAGAATTGCATTTTGACTAAGAATCGCCCGCTACCCGCAAAGTTCTCGCACAGTTTTAAAACGAGTGTGCGCGGCGCTAAGGCGATAACCACATTTTGAAAACGACCCGCCCTCCATCCGCGAAGCACTTGCAACATTTTGACCCGAACGTGCGCGGCGCTCTGGGCGAGTGCCACATTTTGAAAACGACCCGCCCTCCATCTGTAAAGCTCTTTCAAACTCCAAGCTTCAGTATCATGAGTGGTGCAGACAGCCCAGGCGAAACGCCCGGCCCGCCCTACCGACCCGTCCGGGGGTGCGACAGGGAAGAGTTATGTGTCAGGAAGGGGGATGGAGGAGGAAAGTGAGGCGCAACAGGAAGAGGAAGAGAGAGAGAGAGAGACAGAGAGGAGAAGGACGATCCAAACACCCAACGTCGTCCCAGAGAGCTGGACCCCTTCCTGGGGACCCCCTTCATGTATAGCCGTTTGTTGACGCCCCTGGGCCCCAGCATTTGCCCCGGGAGGCTGAGAAACAGCTGGGCGAACGGGGAGGATGCCCGGTTTCCAGGCCGCAACCTGGGGCAGCTGGCGGCCGACCAGGACCACCCGTGCACCCCTGGAGTGGTGTCGACGAGGTGCAGCTGCTGGAAGCAGCCCCGAGGCGAGAAAACCTTCGACAACGCACGACGCGACACGGAGAAGACACGAAGCCCCCGACACTCGGCGGTTCCGCACCCTCGCCCGTGCAACAATTCTCGCGAGCAGCCCCGGTGCGCGTGGTTCTGATTGTCGCAAGGGGCAGGACTTGTCCCCGCCATCGGCGCGCAGCAACGTTGGTGGTCTCTGTGAAAAAGTCGCATGATCGTCCCCTCCCTCTTGCCCCTCCTTCTAGTGATTGTTTTTGTATTCAGTGTTTTGCCGATCGGCGCGGACCCCAACCCCCCCCCATCCCCTCCCCCCGTGGAGTAGATCTTGGCTGTTTTTGGCGTCTGTTTCGAGCAGGTGGAGTCTCCCCCCTAGGACGCACGGTTCCAAACCGTCGCATTGAGCACAGGTCCGGAGCCAGACCCCTCCCCACCCTTCCGCCCAATGTCGAAACGCCAAATTACATAGATTGTTATATATGGTGTCATTATTTTTTCTGTAAACAAAAAACAAAAAAGGCTCACCTGTTCACCCCCCCCCCCCCGAGACAGCCCGACCCCCGGCGGCGCGCGCAGGACGACCGGTCCGGCTCCAGCGAGTTCTTCCTCGACGACCCGGACGACTTCGACGGCGCCGGCGGGCCCCTCCCCTCGGAGCCGCACGGCCGGCTCTCGGCCGACGCCGCCGCCGCCGCCGACGTCGCCGACGACGTCGCCACTCTCAGCCACGTGCTGCAGGGGGGGGGCTCCTATAGATGGGGTCGGAATGAATTGGGGTCGGAAGAGCGCGCCGCATCGCCGATGCATCGCCGATGCGACTCGATGCGGAGCCCGATCTTCTTCACGCGGACGTCGCCGGCGATGCAATGTTGGCCCAGGGTGAGGAAGTGCCATTCGATAAAGCTTCAGGAGGGCCGGGGCCCATCTCTCCGCCAGGACACGCTGCCTTCATGACGCCAAGTGGAGGGAGGAGGCCGTCCAGCGCCGACCCGGGGGATCCGCGCGGACCTCCGAGAGCTCATGTTTACGCCTTTGTCTCGAAGAAGCAAAGACGCCCTGAGCATAAATTTATCGGAGGTCCACGCGGACTTCTTAGATCGGCGCTGGGGCTCACCCGCTGGCGGTGCTACAGCGCCGCCCTCGGCGCGCCTCCGTGCGCCAGGAGGCCCGTCGCCGATTCAAAGTATCCGCGCGGATCTCGGAGAGTTTGTGTTTACGCAGTTTCTTATTCCTCTACGCTCTGCGCAGGTCACGGTCCGCCCGCCCCGCCCCGTTCCTCCTCGTCCTCATCCCTCTCCTTGTCCCCCTCTTCCTCCTCATCCTTCCCCTCGTTGTTTCTCCTCTTCCTCCTCGTTCTCCAACTCCTTATTATTGGCCTCCTTGTCCTCCTCCTGCTCCTCGTCCTCCTCTTGCTCGTCCTCCTCCGCGCTGCACCGTGCGGCACGCCGTGTTGCCCCCCGCTCGCGGCCGCCGCTTTCGCGGGCGCTCGCCGCCCACTCGCCGAGGGTCACCCTCACGAGCTGCGACGACCTCCCCGTGGCCGTGCTGCCTTCTCTCTGCAGGCGTGCTTTTGGGACGCCCCACCTGGCTTCCACAAACACGCGCTGACAGGGCAGCTCGATGATCCGTGAGGCAGGAGCTGGCTTCACAGGGCACGCCGCAGGGCAGCCCGATGCCCTCAAAGTCAGAGCTTGCGCCCAACAAAAAAAAAGCTCGCGGAATAGATCGGCCTCCTCGCCCACCCCTGCTGCTGCCCCCACCCCCGCTCGGCCCCGCCGGGCAGGAGCCCGCGCAGCGGCAGTCCGCGGAGGCGGCCAGCTGGAGCTCGGAGGCCGCGGCTCCGCCGCCCTCGGACGCCCTCGACGTCGCCGCCGCCGCCGCCGCCGCCGCCGTCGTCGTCGTCGTCGTCGTCGTCGTCGTCGTCGTCGTCGTAATCGTCGTTGCTGCATTCGCCAGCGTCGGCGGCGCAGGCGTCGGCGGCGTCGGCGTCGCTGGCGTCGTCGGCGGCGTCGTCGCCGCTGTCGCCACCGTCGGCGCCGTCTTCTTCCTCTGCCTCATCGGGCCTTCCAGGGGGGGGGGCCATCGTCGCCGCGGCAGGGCGCTGCTCGGCAAGCGGGCCGGCATGGACTCCCCGCGGGGGAGGCCGGGGTCCGGGATCCGTTTGGAGCCCAGCTGGCACGACCAGGGGGGCGGGGGCAGCCGGCGAGGATCGGGGCGCCTTCCGAGCCGTCATGGCCGACCCGGGCGACGGGCGATGACGACGACAACAAGGACGACGACGATGACGGACGGACGACGACGACGACGACGACGACGACGACGACGACGACGACGACGACGACGACGACGACGACGACAACGATGACCGGGTCGACGGACGACGGACGGCGGACGACGATGACGACGACGACGACCAACGACCGACGACCCAGGACTGACGACCGACGACCAAAGATCGACGACCGACGACCGACGATCGACGGACGACTACGACGACAACGACGACGGACTACGGCGACGGTGATGACGACAGCCGAGTTTGACGAACTACGCCCGCCAGAGCGTTACTGTTACCCTGGGCCCAGACCCCCCCTGGGTAACGACCGTTTCCCGCCAGAATAGCAAAAATCAGAGTGAGGGGGCCAAAGGGTCATTCACTGTCCCTGGGCGCGTGGCTGAAGTGAGGTTATGTTGTTGATGTTGTTGTTGTTGAACTCTCATTTCTGAAGAATAACTATTGTTGATCCCCCCCACCGGTGCATACCCTGTTTTTTATCAAGGAAAGTCTTGAGGCTCAAACTGGGCCCTTGGCTCCCGGGTTACAACAACAACGGCTCCTGCTTGAGACTTCCTCACAATTTAGCCAGGATCCCCGCTTTCGCCCGAGACTTCTTCGCATTTTTACCTAACAGCGTAGACTGATAGGCTTCTAGTTGATTCAAAAGAGCTCACAGATCACTCCACAGGGGGGTCCGGGCAGGCGTTGGGAGTTGCCGGCCGGGCCTGTGCCGGGCTCGTTTTTCACCAACAGTCACACACTTCGTGCTCGTCGACCTCTCAGAACCCCATTCCCAGGCCACATTCTGAATAACCGGATGCAACAGTCACACACTTGGTGCTCCTTGACCTCCCAGAACGCCATTCCCGGGCCACATTCGGAATAGCCGGACGCAGCAGTCATACAATTCTTCGTACTTGACACCCCAGAACTCCATTCCCGGGCCACATTCTGATTAACGGGATGCAACAGTCACACATTTCGAGCTCTTTGGCATCCCAGAACCCCATTCCCAGGCCACATTCGGAATAACAGGATGCAAGAGTCACACACTTCGTGCTCCGAGACCTCCCAGAACGCCATTCCCAGGCTACATTTGGAAAAATCGCACACAACAGGTATACACGCCGGGCTATCTGGCTGTCTGGAACGGCAATCCCGGGATACATTCAGAGTAATCCCACGCGACAGTCACACACTTTGTGCTCTGTGACCTCTCAGAACTTCATATCTGGGCGACACTCCTGGGCAACACTCGTTCTCTCACTATCATGCAACACTCATACACAGTGTCCTTGTCGACCTGTCACATCTCAACTTTCAATTCCCTGACACAACCGTCACACACACACTGATTTCTCTGAGTTTTTACCTAACAGCGAAGACTGATAGGTTTCTAGTGGTCTCAAAAGAGCTCACAGATCACTCCACAGGGGGGTCCGGGCAGGTGTTGGGGCGTTTCCGGGCGGCATGAGCCGGGCTCGTTTTTCACCAACAGTCACACACTTCGTGCTCTTCGCCTTCCCAGAACTCCATTCCCAGGCCACATTCTGGGGGGCCGGATGCAACAGTCACACACAAAGTGCTCTTCGACATCCCAGAACGCCATTCCCGGGCCACATTCTGGGGGGCCGGATGCAACAGTCACACACTTCGTGCTCTTCGAGTTCCCAGAACTCCATTCCCGGGCCACATTCCCGGAGCAACAGTCACCACTTCGTGCTCTTCGAGTTCCCAGAACTCCATTCCCGGGCCACATTTTGGATGCCCGGAGCCAACTGTAGGCCACTTCGTGCTCTTCGATTCCCAGAACTCCATTCCCGGGCCACATTTTGAATGCCCGGAGCCAACTGTAGGCCACTTCGTGCTCTTCGAGTTCCCAGAACTCCATTCCCGGGCCACATTTTGAATGCCCGGAGCCAACCGTAGGCCACTTCGTGCTCTTCGAGTTCCCAGAACTCCATTCCCGGGCCACATTTTGAATGCCCGTAGCCAACTGTAGGCAACTTCGTGCTCTTCGACTTCCCAGAACTCCCATTCCTGGGCCACATTTTCAGCAGGGGCAAGAGCACGACGAGGAGGAGGACGAGCAAGACCAGGAGGACGAGGACGAGCAGGAGCAGGACGAGGAGCAGGAGGAGCAGGAGAAGAAGGACGAGCAGGAGGAGGAGGAGGACGAGCAGGAGGAGGAGGACGACCAGGAGGAGGAGGACGACCAGGAAGAGGAGGAGGAGGAGGAGGAGGGGGAGGGGGAGGAGTACCAGGAGGAGGAGGAGGAGGAGGGAGGAGGAGGAGGAGGAGGAGGAGGAGGAGGAGGAGGAGGAGGAGGAGGAGGACGAGGACGAGGAGGAGGAGGAGGGGGGGGGAGAGTACCAGGAGGAGGAGAACGAGGACCACCAGGAGGAGGAGGAGGAGGAGGAGGAGGAGGAGGAGGAGGAGGAGAGAGAACACCAGGAGGAGGAGGACGAGCAAGACGAGGAGGACGAGAACGAGGACGACCAGGAAGAGGAGGAGGAGGAGGAGGAGGGGAGGGGGAGGACTACCAGGAGGAGGAGGAGGAGGAGGAGGAGGAGGAGGAGGAAGAGGAGGAGGAGGACGAGGAGGAGGAGGAGGAGGACGAGGAGGAGGAGGTGGGGGGAGAGCACCAGGAGGAGGAGAACGAGGACCACCAGGAGGAGGAGGAGGAGGAGGAGGAGGAGGAGGAGGAGGAGGAGGAGGAGGAGAGAGCACCAGGAGGAGGAGGACGAGCAAGACGAGGAGGACGAGAACGAGGACGACCAGGAGGAAGAGGAGGAGGAGGAGGAGGAGGAGGAGGAGCAGGAGAAAGAGGAGGAGGAGGAGGAGGCAGGCTGAAGCTGAGGCTGTGACTGCGACTGCCGTTGCCGCTGCGACTGTCATCGCGAATGCGACTACGACTGCGAGAACAGCAGAATTCGACAACTGGATTTTCATCTGAATCTTAAGGGGAATGCTTTCAGATATGCTTCTACACATCGCTGTTAGGTTGCTTTGCCGGGATAATCACTAGGTTAGTCTCGGGTCACATTTTACCTAACAGCGAAGACTGATAGGTTTCTAGTGGGATCAAAAGAGAGCAGCAGATCACTCCACAGGGGGGTCCGGGCAGGTGTTGGGAGTTGCCGGGCGGCAGTGAGCCGGGCTCGTTTTTCACCAACAGTCACACACTTCGTGCTCTTCGCCTTCCCAGAACTCCATTCCCAGGCCACATTCTGGGGGGCCGGATGCAACTGTAGGCCACTTCGTGCTCTTCGACATCCCAGAACGCCATTCCCGGGCCACATTCTGGATGCCCGGAGCCAACTGTAGGCCACTTCGTGCTCTTCCATTTCCCAGAACTCCATTCCCGGGCCACATTTTGGATGCCCGGAGCCAACTGTAGGCCACTTCGTGCTCTTCCATTTCCCAGAACTCCATTCCCGGGCCACATTTTGGATGCCCGGAGCCAACTGTAGGCCACTTCGTGCTCTTCTATTTCCCAGAACTCCATTCCCGGGCCACATTTTGAATGCCCGTAGCCAACTGTAGGCAACTTCGTGCTCTTCGACTTCCCAAAACTCCCATTCCTGGGCTACATTTTCAGCAGGGGCAAGAGCACGACGAGGAGGAGGACGAGCAAGACCAGGAGGACGAGGACGAGCAGGAGCAGGACGAGAAGCAGGAGGAGCAGGAGAAGAAGGACGAGCAGGAGAAGGAGGAGGACGAGCAGGAGGAGGAGGACGACCAGGAGGAGGAGGACGACCAGGAAGAGGAGGAAGGAGGAGGAGGAGGGGGGAGGAGTACCAGGAGGAGGAGGAGGAGGAGGAGGAGGAGGAGGAGGAGG